CTGGCAAGTTACGTCCAACTAAGTCACCCTGGCAACGATACCAAGTTTCGAAAACGATGTCAACCTCCTTCTATACATCGAAAGGAGACCGCGACCATACCAAGGGCCATACCATCTTGATCTTAGTATCTTCAAATTCCATCTCATGTCCACATTGATGCAAGGACAGAGTACCTAAGTTATAACGTCAGGCATTTATAAAATATGCTTGTTAAGAGTTCATATAAAGGTTCAACAAACAATAGATAGACATAAACGTATAAAAGCCCCATTTTATATCCTTTTCTCAGACTTCTTAACCTAATGCGGACGCTCGACCTCTATGCGTAAGTTATAAACAAAGTTCGTTGATCAAAAAGCCTTTGCAGTATCTTATTAGAGGCGTAAATCACTAATGCTAGAAACATTTCTCTTTCCAACAAAACTAATTTTACCAAGAAATTAGTAATAGTGTGCTCAAAATAAAGTGACATTTTTCTTACAGATTTTGCACCATAGAAACCTTTCTTTCCTTGAAATCCAAAAGTGTTCAGCAGCACAGTAAAAATAGAGCCATTCACGTATGGTCTCAGTTTGAGTACAATTAAGATTCTGGCCAAACTAAAGTAGAAAAAGACGTCCATTCAATTTAAGACGACTTTAGGATTAAGTGGAAATAAAAACCTGTTTAGCCCAATTATCACGCTTGTAACACTTCCTACTATACCTTTTCAAACGGTCAGTTCCTTTAGGCTCTTAAAAACATCTCGAGTGCCATTTCGGCCTACCGGCAGACGTCTATAAAGGCAGATATAAGCACAACATTAAAATTAGGTTAACAAACTGGCCGATTCACACAAATCCTCTTAGGTATAGATTAACGTATGTCGCAGCCAAGTTCATCAATTCTATCAGGTGGTGGTGATGTTCTAGTGTTTTATGTATGAAAGTATGATCTATTTAGGGACAGAAACGCTCGTGCTCATGAGAAGGCCCTCATAAGGAATGCATATTAATAAATGACCATCCAGATTTTGACTATCGCAAAAGGTCACGCGGCCGCAAACATGAAAGAGGCCACCATTTACTCTCGTTACTCACTTTGATTCCTTCTTTCCGCAAAGATTACAAGAGTGCTTGACAAATGCGTGATAAGCCACATATGAAGGTATATTCAAGCCAAATCTAACTGCATGGCAAAAAAGCGATTAGACAGCGCTTGTGGCCAATACTAGAGTTCCAGCTGATAAAAGAAACAAATTCAATCTCTAGTAAGGTCAACCTGTCATACTCATTTGCAAAAATACAATAAAGGATATTGAGTAGCCTAAGTAATCTGAGGAATATTTGGCTAAAGTGGTGATGAGTGACTACTGGCAAAGCATGAGAGTTCTATTAGAGTATAAAGCAAACCTGCAATAAGGTAATAGATCGAGAAATAGAAGAATTCTGACTAAGACCTATACCGATAATGAATTCTGAACTGTAGAAAAGTGTATAAATGAAATATACTCTATATGAAGGTTGAAGTTGTTTCTTCGGGCAGACTACACCCACTAAGAAAGTTTCCGAATGTCCCTCACTTGCTTCTTCCTTGCGGTCCCTCTTCCCCTGATTAACTATAGGTCCTTGAAACAGACATCTATTTTTTGCTAATCTTGTTCTATCCATGTTTGCTTAAGCAATAACCAAAGTTATCGCTAACTCTGCCTTTCTCCAATCTCCTGTTCATTACAGTTCTTTCCGCAAGGATGTCAATTACCTCTCTAACCTTCCGTATCCTTGTGTTTTCAGCATACAAGGCCCTTCTTCATGTTGTCTTCTAAGTCCGTGCAATATGTTCCGCAATTTCTGATCTTTCGGCATAAATTTTCCTATAAAGCATTTGCTGCTCTTTGATTCGTATGCTCATTTTTCTCCCTTTTTGCCAATAGAGTTATGTTTGCAGATGACTCATGTTAAGCAGTAAACTCCAGAATAATCAATTGTGACCACCCTCTCAACATGCGAAGAAGGTTTTTTGTCCTTCGTATTCACCTGAATACCCCATTTTCTTATTATTGGATGTCATTTTTTAGCTGGTTCATATGAAAGTAGGCATATCCACTTTTGTAGATATTTTCTCATCCTTACTTTTATTTCATAATCCTCGTCCTGCCATCGGCTTTTCATGGCTCATATATTTCCTTGTATTACTCCTATCGGGTATTCGTTGCCGACAAACACACAAGTCAATTTGTTCAATTCTTCATCCCAAAATTAAACCTCACTTAACAGAAGATTTCTGATGACCATGCTCCCCATTATTCCCAACTTTTTTCTGTAGATGTGATGATACTTAAAATTGAGTATTATTCTGGCTTGTGACTTCTTTCTAGGCAACCTTCTCTTGAGTGTCCCATTAGAGCGAATTAGTTCAGCGTCAATGTAAGGTCAAGGAAAGGAATTCCGAATATTTGGTCACATATAAAGCCAATAAATGTGAAATAGGTAGACCTTATCGTCAAGTCGATTAGTCATGGTAACTAGTCCCTCTTAATCCTTTCTGCTTCCAAGATATTCTTTTCTCAGTCCAAGGTCGCTAGCAGGGCTATTAGCGCCTTTTCTCTCGAGATGCATGTATACACGGCGTGTACATCAAAATCTACCATTAATTCTGTTCCTTCCAGTTCCATATTTTTGATACTTTGAGAAAATTCATATGAGCGTGCTTGAGATTCAAACATAATTTTTGCCTATGCTTTGTTAATTGGTAGGTTTTCGAGACTACCAGTACCCTTCATATAAAAACTTTGCCTATTTATGTGATGCTCCATACCTATCATCATTAGTGGTTCTACTTCCTTGTGCATCTTTGGTAATCCATAGGCTGCTTGGTGGTCGTGCATCCCTTATTGTCCATCCATCGATCTTGACGCTTCTATGCAGATATTTTAGCATCTTACGTAGGGCTCCATTATCACTGTCGCTTTTCTTTATCCACCTCAATTACTAATTATAATGTCCTGCCTATCTGTTCTTGCATATTGGTTCTTGATGTGTCGAGAATATTGGGATTATTTCCATTTCCATCTCCCGTTTTGTCACTACAGGGGCCTTCTTTGAAATTCACACCTGTCCTGTAACCCAAGGGCACTTGTGGAAATGTGGTGTGGTGGTTAACGTGTCATGAATATACGCTGTACTTTCATGGTTAGAGTCCCTCTGGGAGTGCTGGTAAGACCTAGGCGAGGTCAAAGGTTTAGTCTATCCTGGATGAGAATACCTTTTAGGAAGGCACTACTATGTGGAATTTAATGAAAACGTCATTTCTACTCATATCATCATGGGAACATTCAACTACCAGTCACCTTACCTTCTTAAACGAAAAAGGGTAAACAATTCTCATTTATAAGCTTTTTTTGTTCAAAGATTTAGGTGGGATCCACTTTTTTAAACGTATTAAGTTATAATAATTTCACTTTCAATAAATTCTAAGACAGCAAGTTTATAATCATTACGAGTGATTGAGACTTACTGCTATTTGTTTCAATAATTTTAATTAGCAAAGATTGTCAGTTTGTTATTGTTGAGATTACATTGTAGTGGTAAATTTTAAATAAATTGCCTTAAATGAGATGATAAGGTTTAAGAACCGGTAATGCTTTGCACTATAGCATTTCTATTTAGACTAGGTATTATAAATAAGCTTAAATCACAAATAACAGGCATTTAAATGCTTGAACCTGAGTTTCATGGTGGGGTAATTGTCCTCAAATGTCTACCAAAACTAAAATCAAATGCTACTACTCAAGTTATGTAAGTGCTTGTCGGTCGAAATCATGTCTGATTATACTTAAAGGGGTCTTGACTGGGTAGACCTATTAATGCCTTATATGACTTGATCAGATGTAAGGCTATTATACTAATATCTAACTTACACATGTTCCATTTAGGGCCTTTATTGTCTAAAACAAGGCCACAAGGTCCATTTTTCTTTATCATAAAATGCGAAGCATCTGGGATTCAATGTGCAGAAACTCATAAAGAAGTAGCGATGGAGTATAGAAATTACATGAAATCAGAATATCGCGGAAAGTTTCGATCCACTAGATTGAACTCACCCGAGATTTGGGGATTATGCTCCCCCTCGCTATGCACTCCAATTTCTCCAGCACTCTTCGCCTGAGCCGAAGGAAACCAACGGTGCCGCAATAGCAGGCAGATAGTCTCTTTGGTCGGCGAGTTTGTCTGCCCCAAAGACGCTGAAGAGGGTAATGAGATGGACGGTGATGATGTGGAGGAGTAGGAGGATGACAACACTGCAGCCGCAGTAGAACTTGGATTTTTTAGTTGCAACCCAACCGGCCGAGAGAGCGAGACGGTATTTGTCTCGTGTAGTTTAGCGCAGGTAGAATCATCGGATAGATTCGAGGGAGAATTAGCGGCCTCGGCTCCAATAAGGCGCACAACCTTGCTATGGCTGACCCCTATGGTCGAGATGCCATCAACGCCCAGCAAGAGGTCACCCGGGAAAACGCGGCCCGACAAGCATGCGGGACCACCAGGATTTACAGCACTGATTTGGACCTGACAAGAATCAGATAATTTAAAGGCTGTAAGTCAGAGTGAATTCATTTATATTCACGAAAGCAGTGGGCATAAAGAGGCAGAAGTTAAATCTAATCTTCAGGGCGAGAAGGTGGTAGAGTTTTGCTTTGTACGTAATTGCAAACGAGAAAGTTAGATCTATACATTCGAGATCCATACATTCAATATATTTGAAGCCAACAAGGTACAAAATAAGCTAGTCGACCCAGTTGTCAAAGCACTTATCTTAGGAGTATGCGAAGTTCAAGCATAAGTTTTGATTTCCTTACGGGTTTTCAAGGCTTCAGTGAGAATTGCTCGAAGAATAAAAATTTTAAAATATTCATCAAGTACTCCTTATCGCCAATTAAAATTTAGGTCATGGTGTTTAAAGGACAATGAGTCAATTAGGTTATTTGCTTTACTACTCTTTTGTTTGCTACTAACTCTTTCACTCTTTCATTTTCTGATTTTATTTAAGAAAATACTATCTTAAAGCAGAAAATAAGACTCGCATTTAATTTTTATCTATGAATTTCTCATATACTTGAGGACAGGTTATAGGAAGCAATTTAGTCTTAAAGGACAAAATAATTAGTACTCCATAGAATATAGTAATTTCTACAGATCCATGAAGAGGGATTTGGACTATATAGAACAAATTTTAATTGACTATTATGCTTGAGAAGGCTAAATTTGGAATACTCCAACATAAAATAAGCTTTAGTTAGCTTTAAGATAGCCTATACACAAAGGAAGAAGAAAGCGAACGGAGATTGAAGGACGGTATTTAGATTATGGCCATTCCGAATGCGTCCAAATATGTGGTCCGTTTGGAGAGCTTCATTGCCAAACAAAGAGGCACTTGTCGGAATATTTGGCAAGAAAAAGGGCCATAAATGAATCTGCTAGCAACTAGAATGGAGTTAATAAACATAACTGTGCAAAAGACGGAAGCCCGTAAGAAAGATAGCGATAGACCACCAAACAAGGTTGAATAAAATGTTTATAGAGTTTTTCATAG